TGCTCCCGAGCGTCGCCTCCCCGCGAGCAAAGTCTGCGGGGCCGGGAGAAGTGAGGAGTTCTTGCYGGGGGAAAAAATGCAGGCGTCGCCGTGGAAACGTCGCCGAGAAAGTTCCCCAAGTCCCTAAAAAAGCAGTGAAACAGATCCCAGCCCTGCGAGAGCAGTGCAGGAACAGAGTGCCTGGTGTGCGCCCTGTCACAATCAGCAACTCTGGAAGCAGAAATCTTAACATTTTTTCTCTCATTGCAGATGTTTCTAAGATAAAAATATCTGAACCCTGCTCATGCTTTTAAAAGCCTGCTTTTACTTAAGGTCTGCTTATTAATACTGTTTGAGTGCTGCTGAATTTTAGTCCACCTGCGTCACACAGTCCACCAGCACTGCTTTTAAAAGTTAATAACTCTTTTTAGAATATACCTTAAAGGTGTTTTCAGAAAAGATGCAGCACATGCAGATACTGTTCCCAGCTGAAYGACTGTCAGAGAATCAAACCAAATATAACTGAAGTTGTCTCCTATCACTAAGGTATTGCCGAAATCCTAATGAACCGACCCCATGCAAGAAATTCATTGGGAAAAGTATTTGTAAATGAAGTGAGTATAGCCCCTGGCCTCTAAACATGTTTGGAATCATGGTCGATAATTGAATGTGATGAGAATACGTGTGATCAGCAGTAATTTGTGGGAAATGTTGAGATTTTTGCTGAAAGTCAATGTAGGTTACATCGGGGCAAGGTGTCCTAGCCTGAAGAAAAAAGGGGTTGTGTTATGTGTACATTGCAGTAATGTAAACATGAAGAATGAACAGAGATACTGGAACTAGATTTAAATTAGCTGACTTGGACACTTTAAATTAGCTGACTCAGACACTAAGTTCTATTTCACTTGAGGAATTATGACAAAAACATGGTCAGTGCTAGGCCTTAGTGGATGATCTGCTTGAAATCAGGCCGTTCCAGAGCAAGTCTGGCTCAAGGCCAGACTGGACAAAGGACAATTTCAGGTATAGCAAAAGTTAATCTTTGAATGCAGGGAAAGAAATGGGGAAACCTGTCATTCTGAAACTGTTATGGAAGGATCCTGCAGCTCTATATAAATKATTTCCCTATATGTAATATAGGGAACATACTATCCTATTGTATGTTTGATAATGTAGATATGTAGATCTACATGCTCAAAGTTTTTCTTTTCTTTTTATTTCCTCCGTCATAGCTGTTCAGTGCTCTGGAACATCTCCGCTTCGATGAGAAGGTTCGTGTGGTGGTGTTCAAAAGTGAAGTTAAAGGTGTATTTTGTGCTGGTATGTAATAAAAGCTCTGCAAGTGCTTTTARAAGATGGATGACTCTCAGAGCTGGGGGCTGATCAGTCTGTGCAGCCTTTTTCTGCACACAAGAAGAAAAATGGGGGCTGGATTTTGTGTAACAAATAGTAAACACATCACTTGCTCTTTGGCCTGTTTGGCTCTCTGATTCAATACTARGGACAAGTGAACCACACAGGCTGAAGTCTAAGCCTTCCTGTGCTACCATTTCTCTTTGGTTTATTATTACTTTAAAGACCAGCTGATCGGTTGTTCTCTGTGAAAACATCCTAGCTGCTGTTGCAGCCAAATGTTCGTGCTCTGGAGCTTCCTGTGACTTGGCTTGATCAGGAAACAGGCATTTCAAGACTTCTGAAGTTGTCTGTCGTGTGGGATGGTAGCAAGGAACACAACTCGGATGTTTGCCCTCTGATCCTAGATCTCAACGTTTTTCTGTCCCGTTTAGGTGCAGACTTAAAAGAACGTGAGAAGATGGATGATGCAGAAGTTGGTCTCTTTGTTAAAAGGCTGAGAAATCTGATGGATGAAATAGGTAAATGATTATCTCAGCTCGAAAATCTGTTCCATGCTGTCCCTGTTGAGACATGTATCAGAGGAAGGAAGGATGCTGGTCCCAATAAGCTTCCCACGTAGCCCTGCCTTACACCTCAAAGATGCATACAGAGGATTAAATACCAGCTGTCCTTCTGCTTCTCCAAGGGCAAGATGCACTTCAGCACTGTCCTTTCCAAGATGAAGAGCAGCACAGACATGCATATAACAAGTATATGCAATAATAAAGCATTATCCACAAAGGTCCCTGTAATCCTTGGGAGAGAATGCTAGGCAGAATGAGTAATACTGTTTGTCTTGTTTTTAATACACCCTCAAGAGCACTGGTCTAAGAACATGGGACACCGATTTCTGAATCAGTCTGTTACACCTAGTGGTTTTTATAACTTCCATACCTCTTCCTTTAGCGAAAAGAATATGTATTTCTACAATTCATTTCCTTGTCCTATTTATGACTTTTTTTTTTCCTGTTGTCACTGAGGAGGAATGCAAAAGTCAAATCTGACAGGAATACCAGTAAGAATAGCAGTAGTAAGATTATGATCAACTTGAAATGCTCAACTATGAAATCACAGTAATATTTAGAAAATATTACTAGATAATATTTAGATAAAYATTACTAGATAATATTTAGAAAAGCACTTGAAGAACTAACCTTTGCACTAGTGAGCAAGAATAGTACCTTTGTTTTAGATGTTTAATTGTAACTGTTGGACATTCACATCATAAATATGCAAGGAGACAGTTCATTCTGCTTTGTATTAGAGCATTCTAGAAAAGGGTATTTGCATTTTACTTTCAGAGAAGGAAAGTGCAAAAAAGACTGAATTTTTACCCCTTAAGAGACAATCAGTGTTTGTGGTAATCGTACAAAAGAAAAGGAAATCTTAAGTAGTTTTGAAATGCCTGAGAAATTAAATGCTTGAGAAAGCTGCTTCAGAACCCAACTTGATAACCAACCAACTTGTTTTCTGTAGCTGCACTGCCTGTACCCACAATTGCTGCAATAGATGGCTATGCTTTGGGTGGTGGACTGGAACTAGCGCTGGCTTGTGACCTTCGAGTAGCAGGTTTGTGTGTCGCTTAATGCAGGATTCTTCTTGCAAGTTTTCTTAAAAAGATGGTCACCAATTACATTTGGGATAGATGACTGCTAATAGAATCCAGTTGGCTAATAAGAGGAAATGAAACAGTTCAGGAAATGACTAGGCATTTTGTCCACAAATTGTGCCATTTAGTTACTACTACTAAATGCAATTTCCATGTTTAAAAAATAAAGCCAATGTTTAGGCAAGATTAGAATTCCTTCAGAAAACTACTGGTGAGATTTAAATAGCTATTATATAATATGGAGTTAGCATTCTGGCTTGATGTAGCCTTTACTACTTAAGATCAGTTTTGACCAGAAGCTTTGCTTTTTCTCGTGCCTTTTTTTTCCATCCATTACATCTACTGTGGGCCCAAGAGTCATTTTTCTAGATAAAATCGCTACCTTATGAGTAGGCAGCCAGACAGCGTGTCTGTCACCTGAGTCAAGATGGAAGTTGATGAAGCAGTGCAACACTCAAATTTTCAAGCTACCTGGAGAAATGTTCCACAGCATGGACAGATTGTAGTTGTATAGCTTCCTTCTATGATGAAAAATAATTTAACCCTTCAAATATCCCCCTTTCTTTTTTTAATAGCTTCATCAGCTAAAATGGGCCTTATTGAAACCACTAGAGGCCTTCTTCCTGGAGCAGGTAATCTTGTTTCATTAATATTCAGCCTTTCTTTTTTAGCTAAAAAGTAAATATTTGCTTTTAGAGCACTGGAAAGGTGTTGCATTTGGGTTTTGAATGCAAATTGGAAGCAACATTGTGTAGTGACAGAGAACTGTGAATCTGGGATTTTGTTTCAAGCCTTCTCTCTGACTTGGTATGAATTTAGGGAAGTCACTATATTTCCCATTTATGAAAACACAAGGGTGCTGAAGACTTTCASATGCTTTGCAAAATATCCTCAGCTGATATCCTCAGCAAGGAACACATGATCCTCTATTGTTATTATACAAGGAAACAAATTACTATTTTTTTACATTTCTCAGAGATTGAAAATGGTGTTTTTGCCTTGYCTTAAGGTGGAACCCAGCGTTTGCCCAGATGTATTGGAGAAGCTCTTGCAAAAGAACTCATTTTCACGGGTAGACAGATTGATGGACAACAGGCCTTCTCAATGGGATTAGTAAATCACTCAGTGCCACAGAATGACGAGGGTGATGCAGCTTACCAGAGAGCGTTAACTTTGGCTAAAGAAATCCTTCCTCAGGTCAGTGTACTATTCCTATGGTCAATGAAGTTGTTGCTGCTTCTCTTAAGAGAAAAGAAAGAATTAACTCTGAAATGCCCTTCCATATTTTCTTTTTGTTTCTGTCATATAAGTCCCTTAACTCCCTGTCCTTTTTCAAATGCAGTTTCTGCAGGAACAAGTGTTAGCATCGAGCTGCGTAACCCATAGGATAGTTTCACCCTGTAATTCAGGTTATGTAGACCTGCAAGCCTAACATTGGACCTTACATGGTGTATGTAGTAACTGTAAATAATCCAATTCATATTTAAAGTGCTTGCTAACTGCAGTTCCTACAGGCTGAAGGGTCATTGGGAGGTATGGTAATGATGTAACAATTGCATTATTAATTGCATTATTGTAAACTTATATGGCTTTTTATTTTTTTTTTAAATTAAGGCTCCAATTGCTGTGAAAATGGGAAAACTGGCAATAAACAGAGGAATAGAGGTAAAAAAAATAGATATATTAAAAGAAACAGCTATGTTCTTCCTCTATTATGTCATAGTAATTACCAAATTACTATGGTAAAAATGTTTAGAATGCACAAACTATAATACTTGTTTAAACAAGGCATTTAAAACCTTGTCAAGGATGTTAAATATTGACCTTAAAGACAAAACTAACATGGCAGAATTTGGTTCTACAGATATTAGCACTGATTTCTAATGCAGGAGTGAATGTCAGCATCTGTCACTGCAAGTGAATGTTTATTGCTTAGAGAGTTAAAAACATCAGAGAAATGAGATTCCTTCTCATTCCTCCCCAGGTTGACATCGCATCAGGGATGGCCATTGAAGGGATGTGTTATGCCCAGGTAAGTTACCTTCAGAACACACCTCTGAAAGCAGCAATGTTTTCTGGAGTGGGTGGGATTTCACAACATTATCTTGCATGATGCCTGCTCTGTTAGGGAGGCYTAACAGGTTAAACCAAGGCACACTTACCAGCAGTTGCCAATTTCTGTTTCAGAATATCAACTGTTTTCTCACAAATAGCAGCCTTTTTCAKCTTTCCTGAGGCTGTCATTCTTAAATACCCTTCTACCTAGAGTGTATTCTTACAGTTTCAACATACATTAATCAATGAGATTGACAAATGGTTTAGCATTAAGGCATTAAAAAATGGGTTCCTGTTATAATTATTAATTTGGACAAGTTTTGAGAGCACACACCTTTCTCAGCTCATAGCACAACTTAATTGCTTTGCCTTGTAGTGCATTTTAAGCTGATATATCATTAAATTCATTGAAAATACTTTCCTTACATGGTTCTCTGGCCTACAGTCCTTTGTCTTAATGCGCAAGTTGTAATTAACAGTCATCTCTTTATTTTCCTCATTGCAAAATGCAGAAGAGGAGAATTTATCACTGAGAGAAAAACAATCTCTGCAAAGGCTTTAATACCCTTAATGCAAAATAAACCTGTACTTAAACTCTTATTAGATTTGTTAATGAACTCAAACTTCTCTCTTTCTTTAAAATGCAGAATATTCCCACAAGAGACCGTCAGGAAGGGATGGCTGCCTTCAGGGAGAAAAGAGCACCCCGATTTATTGGCAAATAACGCTTCCTGACTTCTTGATTTTTCTTGAAGGTACCTTAGGAGAAAAGAGGAGCCACTAATTTCTTGGAATTATTTTTATAACAGCATGTATACTTAACTCTTTGCCATGGACTGCATTTCYGAGTACTCCACTGGATCTTTTATTGTTGGAAGTATTCCTAAATAACAAGATTGAACTTTGTAAAGCTGATCTTTTTAAAGAGGGTACACTTTTTTTCTTGTTGTTCTGAATCCAGAATAAATTGACAATAAGGAAACCAGGCCACCACAAAATAAACAAAGGGTCTTGGTTCATTAACTGACTCTTCCATTAACTCCAGGATGGCCTCCTGCAAAGGGCCTTGAATCTACAGGTATACCCGATTCATCTAGCTGCTGTCCTAGTCCTCACAGCTGCCATTTAATTCTCTTTCTGTGAGAGATGACTGCTCAGGGCCAGCCCAGGCTTATGCTAGCTAGAACAGTGTAACTGTGTTAAATCCATGAAAATAATCATGGATTATTTCCAGTCCCCCAGCAGTGATAAATGCTGGATTACCAACAGCTGCCCCATGTTTGCTGCAACTGAAGGAAGGTAGAATTCTGTTTATAAACTTTGTAGGTACAGTGCAGACAGCGATCTGGAGTCTAAACATCATCCAGCTTCCTTCCTCAAAAAACGGGCTGAAATTAAGTTCCTGAAGGAGGCACTGTCTGTGCTCAGGTTTTCCATAGTACAATGTATACTGATTTTCTGGGGATTAGAATCACTTTTTTTTTTCCTTGATATTACATAAATACGGCATTTCATCTGCTTCAGGTGGCAAAAGAAACAGCCTTTAAAAYAATCATGGATTTATGATTTAGATAAAAATCACCATTTTAAATTACATTGCAGCTTTTTTGATAGGGAATACCAAGCTTTTCACTATATGGAGTATACTGATTGTGCCAGTATGGTATACTAATTATATGGCTGCCTATAAGCTATAACAACCTTACTCAAGAGTAAATATATTAGATCCTTTAAAAAACAACAACAACAACAACAAAACCCTAAGTCTTAAGCTGGATACAGAACAGCTGAATGTTGTTGGTTGAGATCTCAACAAAATGTCAGCCAAAGAAATTAAAGTTCACACCAATAATCTGTTATGAATTGAGATTGTACACTCTTGATGTGCACTATACACTGAAAGCATTTGAAATATGAAATATTACAACTACTGATTCTAAGGCAATTGTCTTGCAATCAAATCCCTTTGCCTGAAGTTATCAGACAGTTACTTCATGGGCTACAAAGGTTCCCCACAGGGAAAGAAAAGTCTTTCAAGCAAAGGGTTGCAGCTCTTAGTACAAAACTCTAATTCGGCAATTGAGGCGCTCAAACAGATTCTCAAGACAGTGTTATGATACCCCGTGATTCTTCCCTTTGTTAACATAAATTTATCACAGCAGCTAAAAGGGTTATAAAAGTTTCTGAGAGGATGACAGCCTTTAAGTAATGCCTTAGATAAAAAGAACTAGACCTACACACACAATGTATCCAYGTCAGTAGGAAAAGATGACTTGGAAGAGAAACCCACCTCATGATTTACGAAGAAATGAAACCTTTCTAAGACAGTCTGCCCTTACTCTGGCAGGTAATCTATCCCACACAACAGAATTAACACAAAGCAGTGGCCTTCCATCTCCACATTTAGTACAAACAGAGGAAAACACAAGAGCCATCGCTCCAGTCAACTGAACTTCCATGTTTGGTGTCAGTAGTTGACAGCACAGACTGACAACGCAGGCTCCTGCCCAGACGTGCCTGCTGTTTAAGGATGGCCTGTCTGAGGCCTGGCACACAGTGCTGGGGCAGCGCTAGCACGATGGCTGCTGCCCTCCCACCTGCACCTTTCACAGAAACACACGGCTCTGCTCACCAGCTGTGCACGTTTCCAAACACGTCAACAAACACAGAATTCTCTCTTCCCAGCGAGTGTTTCCCTTTGGAGCCTGTCTAGAAGTTGAAGTTATTTCCTCCCTGTTTGAGGCTCCCCAGCGCTGGGCCACGCTGCACGCTTGGGCAGTGGCAGGCCTCAAGGACACTAAGCGCTGAAGTTGGAGAATTAACCAATTAACAGTAAATAAACCAGCTTACCAAAAAATCCTTATGAAATATAACTTCATGTCACTTCATGTGCTGCTAAGGCAAAACACAAGAACACTTGATCACCACAGTAATTCAGCTACACCTAAGACATCTCCCTTAGCTGCAGCTAAGGTAACTTAAGCAGTTCTTTCATTTACAAGAAGTTTCTTACATAAAGAGCTGCAAAAGGAGAGCAGGGACATTTAAGGCCTTTGGTCTTTGTGAAAACATGACAAGTGCCACTGCAGAAATACAAAATATACAGTTTAAAAACTGCTTCCAGAAGCATCCGTGGACGGGAGTACTCTAATGGCAGACACAAATGAGGTGAATTATTTCAGTAGATTTGCACCTTGTAGCCATTCAGGCTTTTAAGTTTGAAAGAATTCTGCTGTTTGTCCAAAGCAGATGGGAACAAAACAAGAAGGCTGTGAAAAAAATAAATATATTCTCTGTGCTTGCTTGCTACAGAATTTCATTGAAGTGAAACCTTCACCACCTAAACTGTTGAACTCACTTTGTGCTGCATGCTTAGGTAGATTTTCAGTTTTAGTCAATGCACTTCACCAAGTTCTGCTGTTATCTGGAAGAAAACATTACTGTAAGGAGAGTTGTCATATTTATTTTAAAATGTTGTGATACCAATTGATCCATTAACACCAATTCTGACAGTTTGTATTTCCATTTCATTCAGTGGATACCTCCTAGCAAAAGTCCTGTGCTGAACACATCTGGGAAGGGTGGTGGGAAAGGCTTGCAGGCCATTTCCCAAACAAGTTTCAGAATTTAAAGCTTCAGCCTGTTTCACTTATTTTTGAATCAAGAAAACTGCACACAGCTAAATATGCATATGGAAATGATGCTAGCCAAGTTATACTTCAGTACAAAAATGTCACAYATCACTGAGGAAATTACTGGGGCAGTCCATTTTGAAGTTGCTAAAACTTAGAGGTGATTTATTTAAAGAACATGAATTTGTTGGAGGGAAGGTAAGATGGGAAGAGTTTAAAATAGCAAAATACGGTCATCCTGAAAAAGCCATTCCTGCCATACTACCAAACAGAAAAAAATCCCTTTTTTAAGCTGCAGTACCAGCACATTTACAGTCTGTGAATATCAGTTAGTTGCCATGGAAATATGGAGACTAACCCAATAAAGAGAAATAATGTTTGAAATAAGATCAATTTTGAACTGGTTGTTTCCATCACTTGTACTTTATCAGGCATCTGTATACTGTGCAATATTTTTCATTCAACACATCATTTGAAACCCACAGGCATCAGAGAAAGAAGTTGTTACAATTAGCATCTCTATTTCACACCCCACAGAACAATGCAATCGACACAGAATTTACACAGAACACTGGGTGATATTCTGCACTGTGATGTCTTGGAAATATAATTCACTGCACAATACTGACAGAATATTTACAGAAAACAACAAAGCAATCATTAGTCTCTTATAAATAAGGTGACCATATATCCTGGGCCTCCTATCAAGACCTGCAATCTCCCATCATGATGAGAAGGACAGGTCAGTATTTTGCTCTGATGAGCTCTCCTTTCCCTATGAGTCTCCTAAAAGAAAAAGAAAAATCTCCTCCACACAATCAAAAGTAGTGAAACAAACAAACTATAAAAAGACTTGTCATCAAGCTTAAAATTACAAGCTTAGTTCATCCTTTTAGTATTATGTCTCATTTTAATCCCATTTCTATTGCTTTTCTCTAGCATATTTCCTCTTTCCCTGGTGCAGTGATGATCTCAACCTTACTAATAAAGTAGAGAGGACTCAGGAGAGCTGAGCTGTCAAAAGGGTATTGCTCTAGCAATGAGGAAAGCAGAAGAACAGAGCTTGCAGGCAAAAAGAAGAGACACTGAAGACCCCATTTGTGCTCAGAAGGGCAACAGGACGTTTTGGTCACCTTAGTTACAAGTCTCRTTGTAACTTGCATGCATGCACTTTTATTTTCATCTGCAAGAGTGTTGAATCTCACAATCACAAACAGCTCAATTCAAACACCAAACCAGTAAACAGTTTTATAAACAGCAATCATAGGGATGAAATAAATTTATGTCCTGGAAGTCACAAAACAAGGTATTCCTAGAAGTGTTTTTTTCCCCCCGGAGGTGCATACTGATCTGTACAAGCCTCTTCTCTTTGCAGCCAGCAATAATCATACAGGGGTGACCAGCTYGAGCAGCGACCACGGTTCCTTTTACAGATTGCATATAGGGTTGCCATTAAAGTTGATATTCACCATAGGTTACCGTACACGGTTCTGGGTACCACAATTATTGCCAAATCACTTTAATGGTGACCACTATATTACAAGTTACTCCAACTACACACACATCATAAAGGATTATTACAAAGACAATACTTTACACTCCTATACCTGCAGCTTTCAGTTTGGTTTATTTTGTTGCTGTTTTCTGCAYGGAGGTGGTCTCCCATGACGCATAATATGTTTTTCCAAACTATCTAGGATGGCAATTGCAATTCGCTGTACATGTGGATCAGTCTGGGCATTTTCTTTGATGTTGTATAAGTGCTGTAAACCCCCTTCTTCAATTAACATACTGCAGTACCTGGTAGCTGTAATAAGATTAAAAAAAAAAAAAAAAAAGAATTTTAGAAAACAATCTACTGCAACARTGGAACAGGAGAGATGTTTCTGTGGCTATGAATCATCTGATAGGACTGGAATTGTCTCTGTCTTACAAGTTGACTAGAAAGTGCCTTGGAATATGCACAATATTATTTCCCTCTTGTACACACATTTTAAAAGAACATACATACATTTTCAGAAACAGGCAATAAGGGAATCAGAAGTATTATAGTATCTTTATGTATCTAGGGAAAACATAACACTTACTGACAGTCTCCATATAGAACAATTACAAAAAATGGTTTCAGATACACTGCATCATTTATACATCCTCRAAGAGTGAAAAAGAATTTCTTAGAAACATTTGCCAGCTACTACTGAWACCAACGATGACTGATATTAAGTCGCTATGAATGCCTTCTCCAACAATAATATTATACTTTTCTTCCACTTTTCTTACTGATTTAAAAAAGTGGGTCTACATCAGCTCCAATGTTAGTATATACAGGGCCAAGCCATAGACAGAGCCATATCTACACCATACAAGCTTCAAAAAAAAAAAAAAAAAAAAAAAAATGCATCCCCCTTCCGGGATAAAAAACCTTGGTGACGAACACCAAAAACTTGTTTTCTCCAAATTAGTCATCATTTTATCAAATTAGTCATCATAATTTCAGAATTAAAAGATATTTTCTTTCAGAGTAGGTTATTACATTTGCTACTTTACATTTGGTTTATGTGCTGGTTTATGTGCTACTTTCTCGGAGAGTTTATGGCAGCAACTATTTTCAGAACTAATCACCAGGAATAAARGGACCACTGTTTTGATCCAGAATCAGGAATACGTCATTCAAGTATTCTCAGCCTCCCCATCCTACAGTTCAGTTACTTGCTGTCAACACAAACCTCTGTGGCATGTTGAAAATTTAGAGGTTAGGGCAGCATAAAATAAACACTAAAAATAAATATGTTATATAGTGACTTGACAGGTTTGAGTCCAACGTGGGGGTGAAGGCTTGCTTTGATTTCATTAATACAGAATTACAGATTCATAATCCAAAACTGTTGACCAGCCAGTAAAACAGCCTTATCAGAATATTTCTACTTGAACACAGGAACAGTCCTCACAGATCTCTGGACAATGTACYCTGGGAAGAAAGTCTCAAAAGAATTGCAGTTATGAGCTTTGAAAACACTGTGGAGTAGGAAAACTGTACTCTATAAGCAGTTATCTATTGCACCATGTTATTGTTTGGTCCTGAACAGACATATCTCCACTATGTATTTATACAGAAGTAGTGATTTATGGGATTGTTCAGCCCTAGGATAAACAAGGATAGAGTTACTGAAGTCAGGATGATTAAACACTGGCACAGAAAACATCTTTAATACCTCAGAGAAAAGCTGCTTTATATATGGCAGAAATTAAAATGAATACATGTATTTATATCAAACTGACAGAAAATAGAAAGTCACAAAGGGAAAAAAAAGGAAGAAACATTAAATGCAATGAGAGTTTCTTTACTCTTACATGCAGGTACGTGCAGGGGATTTATTTCCTTCCCTAGTACTTGCACATTTCATTACATGCTCTCAAAGCAATTTACAAACAAGATGTTGGCGTTCTCATTTTACAGATGGGGAAGACAGATTAAGAAATTGACCTTCATGTCACAACAAGTTGTTGCAGAAAGGCGATTAGAGGGCAGGATTACATAAAAMTTCTACTCTAATGAGAGAAGAGGGCTACCTGCTACAATCCTTGTTATTTCATTCAAGAATTTACAGTGCTTGTTATCRTTTACATCTGAATAAAAACAGCTCTTAAAGGAATATGCTACTGAATTGTATGCTAAAAAAAGCACAAATAAATGTCATTTTGCCATAATACATACGATTTTTACTGCAGACATGCTGCATGGCCCACACTGCCCATAACTGAACACCAGGCGTCATGAAACAGCCAAGTAGAGGAAAAAATGGATTGAAAGACCTATTAAAAGGGGGGGGAAAAAAAGGAGAAAAAAAAAAAAAAAAAAAAAGAAAGAGAAATAAAGAGAGAGATGATCAGCAATTTGTTTTGCTACGTTGCTAATTTTTTGTTTTGAACAACTTTTTTTTTTTTTTAGTAAGGACAGAGACGTGTTAGCCAATATAATCTTATTGATTAGTTGTTGCTTACAGTCTTTTACACATGCAGCTGAATACCGTAACAGAAAAGCAGGGAGAAAAACATTAATCTCTTACAGGGATCCCTAGCTAACTCTACCCTTCTTTTGTCACAGAGGGAAACCCAACAAGCTCTTTATTTTGAGCTAACAGGCCTTCTGAGTTGGCTTCTTTTGAGCCAATTGTCTTCTACTAGACAAAAACGTATTTGGCATGCAGTGTACCCTGCTTCAGGAACAAGCTTTTAAATCTAGTTCTGTTCTATTGTATTTCCCTAGTTACCTGTAGGCCACCATTTCACATTCTGGAGTTGGCCAATTCAAAATGGCAGAATGCTGCAAAATACAGAAGAAAAAAAAAAATCACTGTCTTAAATAGAAAAAAAAAACATAAAATACAGTAAGATAAAAGTGCAGTGTCTCTTCTGTACCAGTTGTTCAAGAAGAGAGTTCCTTTGGCTGCGACTTAGCGTCCAGGCTTGCTCTCCTCGAGATATCAAATGAGCAATAATTCCTGCTGCAAAGTAGCTGACTTCCACCTCAACGCTGTGCAATAATTTACTGATGTGATCTATAAAGTCTTTCCACATTAACTCAGA